ACGTACGTACGTACGTAGTACGTACGTACGTAGTACGTACGTAGTAGTACGTAGTACGTAGTAGTAGTAGTAGTAGTAGGTAGGTAGGTAGTGGAGTAGTAGAGAGAGAGAGAGAGAGAGAGAGAGAGAGAGAGAGAGAGAGGTGAGCTAGAAGGAGTTGCCACCCAGCCTATCAAGATGGATCTTTTGCATTGGATGACATTAGTATAGCTAGAATTTCTTCCTATTTAGCAATGTGATACCATTAATAATAGGGTGCGGTTTGTATAGAGCCGAGGCTCTAAACAATCAAAGTAAAGCCTACCTTCAAATAGTGTCAAAAAATGTGGTTTTAATACTGGAAATCTTCGTGATAGCCTTAAAATATATCTTCATCTTTAATTATAAAATTTTAAGCTTCAAAAATAGCGTAGATTGAGCAAATCTATGAAAACTTGAAAATCTTGAAAATTGACGGTCCAAAAATACGTTACAAGATGCACTATTTCATAAACTTGAAATCCATTTTTTTCTCATGTCCATACATCTTGATGTCGAGATGATCAATTTGAGGATATTTGGGCATCAAAACCACCTCTTCGAGTGAAATGTTTTAGGTGGGTTCTAATTTGATTGTTTAGAGCCTCAACTATATATGAACTTTTTCCTTAATAATAATAATAAGCTAGAAGGATTTGCTACCCACCCCATCAAAATGGATCTTTTGCATTGGATGACATTAGTATAGCTCAAATCTCTTCCTGTTTAGCAATATGATACCATTTCTAATAGTGTTTTTGCATTTCAGTTCTTTCTTCAGTTGTTATACCTTAGCAATTTACACTTGGCTGCGCATGAGCAAAAGGGACCATAACTAAGCTTTTTATACGGACCATTCAACTACCAACTACTTTTACTCATTTTCCTAGTGGATCTTTCTTATCTTCACTTTATATAAAATCTGCTTATTTTCATTATTTTAAGTTGACTACGGGGACCTCAATTTGGAGCAAACTTTGAGGATTGGATAATATGTGATTTGAGTTTTTATCAACAAAGATACGTACTAGTAGGTCAGCATTTGACACTGATACGAGTGTTAGAAAATGCCAACCCTAAAATTGGTCTTTTAGACACGACATGTCTGTACATTGTTTAGAGAAAGAGAGAGGTGGGATTTTATGTGACATTAAGTATTTTTATGGTGACATTTCAACAAGAGAGTTTAAAAAGAAAAGTCCGAGTTTTTAAAGTGTTAGACATGGGTGTCGTGTCCTTGGTGTACCGATACGTGTCAAAAGTAGTGGACACGCGTGATCCTTGTTACATGGGCCATCAAGGATCTTAACCCTTATGTTTGGTAATTTCAGGGTGCCCGTCGATCCTCTGGAATGGCAGATTTCTCAGGAAACTGCGAATGGAATAGCCGCATGGATGGCTAACACAATAGGGGCTGCTGAATCCGTGCTGAGGGTTGCTGCAACAGGGCACGATAAAAGGCTATTTCTGAAGGTCTTAACCTCCTCTGTCTATCTTGTTGTTTGGCACGCACATCATGTCTGATGTTCATGCTTCTTTTAAAATAGTGGCTTATGGTTTTTTTAATAAGTTGTTCTCTTTTCTGTTTATGGTGAATTTTCTCTTTTCTCTTTTCTAGTCCAGGAGGAGGTTCAAAACCTAAGTGATTTTCTAAAAAAATACATTTCATAAGATTTAGTCATCAATGCATAAGTTATGACAATTATCAAATTTGGATGATTTTCTCATCTTGGTATGATTGGTACTTTATTATTTCCAGGTTGTCGTTTTCCTCTATTTGTTGTCTGCTTTGGGGCGGTCAGCCTCTGGTGCAACCATTGCCTATGGGGGTATGCATCATGATATCTCATTTGTAATCGATGTTTCTATGTTCAATTATTTGAATAATTTACCTGTGCTAAACCCCAGCTCATCCATTTACAAACTGGTATCCCCCATCACTATATCACAGAAATCATAATTGTCACATAGGTCTCTCTCTCTCTCTC